ATGATGAACCCGTCAGCCGGATGGAGCAAGTTAACAACAGCCAGAACACAGGCCCCTCTCCCTCACCGCACTTTCCTATTTTTCGGTCTAGGCCACAACTATCACGTATGGCTCGAGTGTGTTGGCGTTGGTCTGCACGTAGTCGCCGCATGTTCCTCTTTGAGTTTCTTAGCCCGCCTCGGCTCCTCGGCTCCTTCCGGCTGCTCGGCAAGTTGTGCGGAAGTGTCTATCATATGCATGTTAATAACTTCCAGGCTCTGGCAGTGCCAACAGACCTTGCCTAGCCGCCATATGCTCGTACTTTTCTTTGTGGTCTTTATCTGGGGCCAGCACTTTTAGCTCATGAAAACGCAGTTAAAGGGATCGGATTCAGGTGGTACTGCTATGTCTAAAGTAAGTAGGTAGAGAAGGGAAATTCTTTTTCAAACGACAGGGCGACAGTGCAACTTTTAAAGAAATCATAACAACACAAATGCACACCATAAATGTTACTTTATGTCAAATTTCAAATTCTATACGGAAATTATAGATTTTTTAAGTTTTATTGACTGTGAAAGCATTCGATAGATTTGGGACGACTTAAGACTGAAAAATTCATGAGTATCTTGAACCAAAGTGCACCTCTCACTTACACTATGAATAATAGGTAAATAAATTCATAAATCTCTTTCAGCTATTGTATGAATTCCATGCTACATTAATTCAGTATTCACGCCAGCCCACGAATAAATTACAACTCACACATAACCTAAATCCCTCTTTGCGTCCACTACAATATTTTCATTCAATTAAGGAAGAAGTGCATCTAGAATCCCATAGGAGATTTTTCCATAGCAACATTTTTTTGCATGCTGGCAACACACATATTTGACCACACGGGTAAACAGAAATAACGACCCGGCCGAAACAAAACCAGCCAGCTAACAACATCGGTTACAACCAGCAGCAACAGCTGGACATCCAAAAATGTTTTTTTTACTTAAAATCTTTTAATGATTGGTCGACTTTTTGGTTTTCCTTAACAACAAAGTTGAATGGAATGATGATTCAATTTCATTGCATTCAATTCATTCATGGAAATACTCGGAAATATGTCTAATCGCCTTGCAATATGTTCTGGATGTAGCCAGAAATTCCAGTAAATCCTTTCGAAAGATATACCTCCAAGGCGGTTTGAAGGGAAATGTACGGTTGATAGTGGCGTCCTATACACACTTTAGTACCCTGCTTTTCGGCAGTGCCATAGGGATCAACCCAAATACATCTCGTGAGGGCCACAGATACCCGCAGATATCCATATGAATAAACATATGCATGACCATGCAAATAGGACATACATACATACATACATATGTGAGAGGGACGCGAGAAATGCAAATGAAAATGATATGTATTTACATGCAGACGTGCTAAAAGTCAAAAACTGCTGTCAGCTGGCAAAAAGAAGAGCCCCAGCGGACTACCGGCCCCCCGCCCCCATCGCACTGCTCCCCATAAATTTGGATGACAGCAGAGGTGACAACGTGTCAACAAGCGCCGCGGGTTGCTCGTACACCCACGCAGCCAAAGCACATAAACATACTGTACAAAACATGGGCAAAACAGCCGGCGCAGTGCGGCCAATTAGAGGAAAGTTTAAAGATGTTCCAAGGGTCAGGAAACGCTTTAAATGATCGATTATCCGACATCGCAGATCGAAAATATCGTAATTGTGTTTGGTGCTGGGCTCCAAACAAAAACTGGCCTCATATCGTTTATATATGTATTTAACTTGGCCGATTACTTCAACACTGATACTCCTTCCATCGCTGCTATAAGTGTCTGTGACTGGCATATGCCAGGGGCCAGACACACATTTGGGCCGTTCTCAATTCAGAGATTTGCTATGAAAATTGTTATTGTTGATGGTTTGTGGAGCAAAATACAGAGCAAGGGAGCGTGGCAGCAGCGAATCGGGTTGGGTTGGCTTATTTTATAATCACAGGAGTTTTCGAGTCTCCGCTCAATGATTTTTGCTTTTCTCATATTTGCATTTTATTACCGCGCGCCCTTTTTATTGACACAAATCATTTGGCTTGTGTTCGTGTTATTTCTGGGTTCGTAGGTATATAAGGTAGGGGAGGTGAACGGATGGGGAGGTGAACGGATGGGGATGTGATGTGATTTGGTGACAGGTATTTGATATTTCACTTTTGATTGGTTTGGGATTTATGCTGATGTTTATTTTGTTTGCCAAATACTTTCAAAGCGTTGCAAAGCACAAAACAAATTGAATTTAAAGCTATCCAAAAACGAAGAAGTGTCGGTTCTCTTTCTCAGTGAGGTCTGTTGCCGAATATTTGATTACATATTCTTCTTAATCTGCCGAAACCCCAGAATTATACATACATATGTATGTTTATGTATTTAATGAATTTTGAATTAAATAAATAGTGCAAACTATACTAAATTTTATTTTTAGTATATTTTTGTATTACAACTAGAAAAGTTGATTTTCACGGCTTCAATGGTATTTAAATACTCTATTTTATTTTCATATTTTCCATGATAATACAAATTTTAATTCACTGTGTTCTTGGGGTTTCGTTTGATTTAAATCGTATTTAAATCTGATGTAGCAGCGATATAAATATGTCTACGTCTAAAAATACTACATACTAAATATTATTCATCGGGAAAATCCACTTAAAGCATTCGGCTAACCAAACAAAAAGCCCCGAACCCTTTTATCCTTTTTATCCTGTCATTGGCTCATTTAGTGGGCAAACAGTTTAAAGATAAATGTATCTAATTGACTAAAGATGCTGCGCCTCAAATTGCATGCAAGGAAACGGCAGAGCCGAAGCCAAAATTGAAATCGATGCCGTGCAACAACAACAACCGCCACAAAGGATTACATTACACACACAAACACACGGGCTTGCACAGGGATCAGTCCATTCATAAATCCCCCGATGTTCCCCCGATATTCCTCCATTTTCCGACCACCTTCACCGCTTGCGGCGCTTTGCGATAACTGTTTGCCTTAGTTCACCACCGCGGAAAAGCGTGCAAATATTTGCCTCAGTGGCCCCAGCTCATACCAAAGCTTATGTTGTAACAGTTGGGTGGGTGGGGGCCTGGTCAAACAATAGTTAGCCATAGCCACTTCATCTTCGATTGTGTGGGATGATTTTTTCAGACTCTTTTTCAGCTGGACTTTGGTTTGTCATTCACTCTATTTGGGGAGCTGCCGAATCATTAGCGTGGCAGAGCCAGAACCCCTCTCGCTATCCAAACTTAAACTTACAACAAATTAAATAAGTTTCAACTCATTTACCAAGTCATTTTCCCGCCAACTTTGCTCGTCATCAGCCTCCTCGGCTATTTGTGTTTTAGTTTAGTTTTATGAGGACTCTTTTGCCCGCCGGCTCTCCCCTTGCCACCACCGCCAGCGGGCCAGCGGGCATGCAAAGCGAAACACAAAAGAAATCAGCTAAAAATGTATTTACCCTGACTCCAGCAGGGGAACAGCAAAGTTTTGCGCTTTTGTTTGAAATTTGTTTCGCATTTGTAAGTTGAAATGTTTTTCGTAAGAAAAGCGCCCGAAAAAGGGAACAAAAACACAAATAAAAGCATTGTCCTCGGTCAGACCCCAGCTTGTCCGTAAAGTCGGCGCAAGGGTAAGAGGGTAAGGGAGGAGCATCCGGAGAAAGCGGTAGCAACCCGAATCTCAGGTTCCTACTGACAATGTTCTTTAGTTTCCTTTTGTGCCCGGCCAAAGCCAGATTTTATTTAATTTAACTTACTCCCCGTATTTCATTGGACTGTTGGCTTCCAGCTTAAACAAATTTTCTCGAAGCTTGATGGTTGGTTCCCTTTTAAAGGACCAACCGTATGGTCTGCTCCCCAAATTGATCTTATTGACACTTTACTTACGATACAAATCGTCTGGGACCGGCCCATTTTCAGCCGGGCCCAATGGCCGTGTCATTCGTAACATTTTCTTTTCGGTCTTTGGAACAGGCAGCATTATTGCAATTTGAGCGCCCATGGAAACCGATGGTGGGAGTGGGGAAATGTGACAAACCTTGGCTGCCCATAAACAAAGCTTAATGGGCTCTAGAGGGCGGGAAGTGGCTGGCAGCATGCAACAGATACTGGTGCTCGGGGCTTTCCATTCAGTGCGCTGGGAAAATGGAAATTGAGAGAAATGGGTAAGTCCCCGATTACATTATTACAAATTGGTTGAATGGGAAGACCAACTAATTTTTGACCGATGGGCAAGTGGAACCCCATTTCACTTTTCTGAACGCTTTTATCGATCCAGCCATGGCCAAGAACTGCCTTTCCCCTTTGCCATCCGTACACATGTTGAACCAGATTTTGGGCATAAGTCCCGCGCACAAATCTCCCACACACGCACCCCGGCAGCGGGCACCACAACAGGGCAAACACAAGTATCACTCATTCGATACGCCGGCCTGCCCTACATCCAACTAACATGCCCCATCCAGACACCATCCCAGAACAATTGTACTTTTATGTGAGGGACATGGAGAGGCATGGGGAAATCGCTGAGTTATGGCGTCCAACAGCTGCGCAAAACTATGTCCACAGCGCCCTCAGAGCTGGACAGGAGCAGCAGCAGGAGCTTGACTATCGTTTCGTATGGGCGGCACAAATATGTTTCATAAGCACCCCCCTCAGGGTCTATCCATAAGGCACCAGGCAATATCATTTGGCAGCATCCGATGGAAGAGGTAGGGGAGTAGTGAACAAAATATGACCAGAAAAAACCAAGAAATATTAAATAAAAACGGTCAGGCGACAGTTGGAGGTTGTTGGTCCTCTAGACTGCATTGCTGCCTAGGTATCGTATCGCACAATAACCAAGCATCCGCATTGTAGATACACAGTATTCATAGGTATTACCACTTTATGGGGTCATAAGGAAGGGGCAGAATACTTACAACTTCACCTAATATAAAGCGAACCGTTCTCCTACTCTTGTTCACCAGGATACTTTCCCTTGGGGTCCGAGCACTGTTTGACCTGGATCTGCCTGGATGTCCTTTTCTGCACGGCCAGCATAATGCATCTGTGTACCATCTCCGTGGACCGTTATTTATCGCTCCGTTACCCGATGAGATTTGGTCGGAATAAAACGCGGCGAAGAGTCACTCTTAAAATTGTTTTTGTGTGGCTGTTGAGTATTGCCATGAGTTTACCATTGAGCTTGATGTATTCCAAGGTAAGTAATGTGTATGCATTTCTAGACCAGCGTAAATTTAAAAAAAAAAAAATATGAGTTTGCCGATATGCCTCCTTTCTTCTTTTAAAGTCATTAAAATTTTCCTTTGATCATTCAAGAATGTTTAATTGAATATTTCATTTTGAAAAAGATACGAGAGATTCGCGTCCGATTTAAATATTTTTCTAATTACTCGCAATGCTTTTTACATCTTGTAGATTTCAATCTGCTCACTCTTCTCTCCTGCTTTCTTTCATTTGATTCTAGAATCATGCCTCAGTGCTGGTGAATGGGACTTGCCAGATACCGGATCCGGTGTACAAGCTCGTCGGGTCCATTGTTTGCTTCTACATTCCGCTGGGCGTGATGCTGCTGACATATTGTCTGACCGTGCGATTGCTGGCCCGGCAGCGCCAGAACTTGGGCGGTGGCCATCAGACGGCAGCCGCCACACCCGGCTGGGCCAGCGGGTGGTTGGGACAGACTCCAGCCTTGGGTAAGCGTCGCTTTTACCCTTTTTCCCCTTTGGTGGGGTGCGACCGGCTACAAAGCAAGTGCCACGACGAGCGCTTCGGGCTTAATATGATTTTCAGTTTGCCTCAAATTTGCATTTCGTTTTTTGGTTGCACTTTTTTCGTTTTTCTTTGTGCCATGCTAAGAACTTTGCATGGCACTCGAAAAGGGCTGGCAGAGGAAAAGGAGGAGAAGGTGTTGTAGGCGGTGGGCTAGACAAACAATGCACATCCATGTGCCCATGTGGGGGATATTTCCAGTATCTGCATCGCATGAATTTTAAAAGGTGGAGTGCTGGGGGCAAAGAGCTGTTAAGCCGCAGCAGTGCACACAGAATCGGCATAGCCATCGACACATTGAACCGGGAGAAAAAGGGTAAGCAGCTACACACTTTCACTCCCACACTTGTGCAAGTGGAATCCGGCCTATACCTACCCAGCAAACCAACAAACGTGCCTTTTGCGAGAGTCCGCAAAATGCTCGCAAGCGAGCTTGTTTATCAGCGATACATTTTTGAATCGAAAACTCTCGCAAACGAGCTCGCAAAAGTCTCGCAAAACGCATAAATTATAAGTGTCGCATGCGATTTGTGAGAGCTAGGTTTACACGTACATATTTTTAGATAGCCAATTTCGACTTGCCCTAAATAAAAAAACCGGCATAGCAAATGCATTGTAATGCTGCGAGAGGGTTACAGAAGTGCTTGACTTGTCTTAAATTCGGAGCTTCGAGATAAAACTTTTGATGCTGATGCATATCATTCCTTTCAATTAAAAATATTTGAAACGGCAAAAGTATATTAGAATTTTATCGATGACTTTTATGAGCTGATGCGGCCATTCTCCAATAACTTCTGGCATTTTCACTAATAAAGCAGAACAGGTTAATGGTATTCAAAGTAGTACTACGTTAAATCTAATAGCAATTAAACTACACCTTAGCACCAATTTTAGATTTTATTAAACAAAAGAACAAATACAGTCATAATTTAAGATGTTTGAAGTTTTGTTTACTAATTTAGAGTTAGTTGAAAACGAGAGGGAACGTTGTGAGTCGAAGCTACGGCCGCGACTCCACATTTGTAGCAGATACTCAGTCAGTTTGGCTCCCCTCCGCCAGAGGTCGCACACATTGCACGGCGAAGAGTAGTGTGTGAAAGAGAGACAGAAAAGACATCGATTTGTTCCTTCTGGCTAATAATTAATTAGGATTAATAATCCGATCTGATCCCAATTTTTTGTCTCATCTTTAGAATTGCCGATAGAACAGATTTTCGTTTTTTGTGGTGATATTCAATGTGATATTACAGGAGTCTGGATACAAAATAATGTTGCTCTAGATTTTATAGTGGCTTAGTATAACTAGCCTTCAAATAAGTAAGACGGACATACAGACATAGCTGTATCGACTCAGCTATTCATGCTGCTCAAGAATATATGTACATATATGTATACGCTTCCTTCAGAGCGTTACGCACATCCACTTTCACCAAAAATCTAATATACCCCTATACTCATTTTGAGTACCGGGTATATAAAAGGAATACGAAACCTTTGACGCTAATCACAGCACACAAAGTTTATAGGATTTTGGATAATTTGTTGTTAAATTCCACCAAAATTCCACCAGCACTGTTAAGTGGGTACGTAATAGTCCTGTCTACCTTCTGAATGGATTCACTTCGCCTCAATTTTGTATCCTATAGTTTAGCACCTAAAGGACATTAAGCACCCAACCCATTGTCCGCCGCGATTATTTGGGCAGGACCTGGGGGCTACGAAAGCCAGCAAGCAGTCAATGCGCAATAGGAATATTAAAGGCTGCTGCTGGAATCACATGCATTGCAGCGCATTCGTGTGGGCCAAACAAGCGTTTAAGGGCGCGGCACCCTTTCCCTTGAGTGGCGCTGAGTGCACTAGTGGGTTGGGTATGAGGGGGGTCGGGAAGCTGGCGTTTGGCCAGTCATTTAAAGCCAAATCTCTGCAGTAAAGCGCTCCATTTGGGGCGGCACGTAGCTGGATTTTGTAGACTGTTCTTTTCGTGTGCGTAGGGGAGTGTGTTGGTTTGTGTACTCGTGCGAATTTATTAGTGCATTTGTGAGTTTTGTGCATTTTTTGCTCTTTCCTTCCCCCAGAACGGCGATGTACTTGGCGTCGTCTGCTAAAGCCGGGCCCAGGCCAAGCCTCCTCCGTGCTGCACGCCCACTCGGCCAATTCAACGGATACGGATCTTAGCACCTTGGACAATCATGAGCTCTGGCTACCCGACTCCAGGTAAGCGCTCTTAGGACTCTGCAAGGGTCGTGGAACTCGGAATATGGCATCTATTACTTACTCCCACAGCATCAAGGAACCCACGCCCACAACAATGACAGCATTGCATCAATTCGGAGCCGAGATGCTGAAGCTCTCCCGAGGCCTCGAGTCAGTGGGCTCCTCATCCACCACAGGATCGCCCACCAAGTCCGAGTTTTCCATATCGAACCACCTGCAGTTCCCCAGCAGCCCCCAGCGCTATGCAACCCATAATCAGTTGCCGCATCCCCAGCATCTCCATGGAAGCGTCTACCACCAACAGACCTCGCCCAAGAGTCGGCACGGAACCACAATTCTGGGACTGTCGACCACAACCCTGGGAATAGAGCGAGAAAGCACCCGGAACTCCTTGGCTAGCAGCCGCCTCGGAGGAGACCAGAGCGACGGGTAAGTAGGGCTCGCAGGGATACCTATTGAATTTGTAATTGCCTGGAATGGGGTCTAAAAAGAAGCGCAACAAATGAAAGCAAAGAAAATAAATCCCAGAGGCGCTGGGATTTTCGATGAATATGGGGTACCCTTTACCACTTTTAAAATCTGTTCTTAGAGCTATTTTAACTTATACTTTTAAGATCTTATCGGAATAAAATCCACACCCCTTTTCAGGTGTATTTTAGTTGCTATCCCAACAACTACATAAAAATATACTCTAGTTAAATTTAAAAAATTTCCCTTACAAAAATGCTTCAAATAGAAGGAATTTTTTGCTATACCCTTGCTATACAGAGAGAGTAAACAGCTTTATTTTCACGACGAAATCGTGGGAAGTACTTTGGAAAATGTGTCTCCTTACCTGTCAAAAGGACAAACAGCTGCTACCAGCAAACCGTTTTGCACGAGTGATCCTTTCTAGTCACTGGCTATCTTTGTTGTTTCGCAGTCCCAATCCGCATCCCACTCCCGCCTCAATCCGAGTCCGAGTCCGAGAGCGCTGACCACACCAAAAGGCAAGGCCGGAGCTCACCTCAAGTCCTCTCGTTTTCGTTGCTTTGTGACTCGCTTACTTTCCTCCTTCCTTTCCTCCTTTTCTTAGTTTTGTGTGCTCCTTTTTGCGGCATTGCCTTTTATTGTCCTTCCGCTTTTGACTTGTGCAATTTTTCGTAATAATTAATTTTGTTCGTTTTCGTTTTCCCTTTGTTGCCGGCAAGGCTGGAGCGGGACTCCACTTTTATTTGGCATTCGAGCTGCTCGAGTGATTTGGGCGTCAGGCCCAGGACCAGGCTCAGGCCCAGGACCAACGCCAACTTCGACGTCGGCTGAGGCCTTTTGCGTAAATGTGTTTTTCATTAATTTTCTAATTTTAGTTGATGGCTTATGTTGGGATAAGAGATGCGCCGAGAAATTCAATTAAAAAATTGGAATCGTAGAAACCAACAATTTTTGCTATTTCTGGCCATGTAAGAATGAGAAGGGCATGGTAACGGGCAGTGAGGTGGAAATAAGTCCAATCGCTTATGATGTGAAATTCCTTGAGGAAGTACGTTGATCTAAGTTACGCTCAATAAAATCCTTAAAAATTAGAACACCATAACCAAAGAACTTCGCTTGATGATTTTTTCTCTTAAAGAAGTAGCGTCATCAAAGTCGAATTAAGCAAATCATAAATAGTCTTTTTACAACATTCCTAAAATTCTTTAAGCCTCTTACGTGGATATCCAAATTGCTACATTGTAATATCAATTGTTTATCCATTGGATAGATAACTTTGCCCATAAACAGCTTAAGAGGAACAGTCACAAGCTTTTATCAGAGTAAAGGAAATTTTCCAATGTATCTAATTAATTACTCTCAAGATTTAAGAAGGGTCTGCGTAATGGAGCCAATATTATTTGGCTTTAAACTCCTTCATAGGTCCCCAATAAATTTCGTCTGAGCGCATTAAATTGGGGCAAAATATACCCCCAGCCTCCCCTCTTTCTATTTTCCTCTGGCACGTTCCACGTAAGAATATGAATCATTCTGACTGTGCGCTTTTTTTAAGGCATTGGTTCAGGCATTGTGCCCTCATATTTGCCAGTTTTGCTTGACAGTTGATCGAATTTGTGCTATCAATAAAATGGATTTTAGTTCTGGCTTTTTGTACGCTCTGGAGGCCCTTAGTGGCTCTGCTTTGCATTGAACAAGGAGCCCAGACCGTCGAGATGGGTTGAGTTGGGAGGTTTTAATTGTTTGAAAATTTGTCGCCTCATGCACTTCTGACAGGCCCAAAGAAGTTAACAAATGATATTGGCTTTGGTTTTTGTGGCTGCGCTGGCAGGCAGCATTCTAATTTCTGAGTTTTTTTCACACAATGACAACGGCGGAAGTGACTGTGGGGGGAGCGACGAGTGACGACGGGGGCTGAGACCTGGTCTTGAGTGGAAGTTGGCATCGGCAGCCCCCGCCGGGAGCCGGGAGCCTGCAGCCACGTCGTGATGAGCTTGGCAGCTGTTTAATTCCTTTGTGGCTGAAACAATATCAAACTTGGCATCAGCCGGCTTTGTTTCACTTGCATAATGAGAAGTTGGGCGGCTCCTTCCTCCCTGCGTCCCTGTCTGCTCCTCCGCCATTGCTTAGTCTTGTTTCAACGCATCTCAATTTATGCGCACGTCTTGTGCAAACAAATCAAAAACGCGAAGGATGCATAATGAGCCGACATCTTTATCCCCCTTCTTCCTAATGCCTGCCCTGCACTTGCTCCTGTCGTTCCCTGTGTCTGGCTAACGCCTTCATTAGCAGCCCACCAGGCCTCTTAGTCTTCCAAATAAAGCTTGCGCGCATTTTCTTGCAAAGCAACATGGCGTCAAAACAAAAAACCCAAGAGAAACGTGGAAATTTATGCGACCGTAGCGCCCTGCCACCAAGTAGCAAGGAAAACCCCTTAAAAACAGGAATTTAACAACAGCAACAACTACAGAAGCGGCACATCATAGAAACGTAGAAACGCGATGACCACAAAGCGTGTGGTTTTAATTAACATTTTCAGACTGAACAGACGAGTAGAATTTTGAAGGGACGATCGCAGCATATACAGAGGGAAACACGCCACTCAGAAACAAATCTCATAATCTTATTAGGAAATTCTTCTAGGAATTCTTCGAAGATATATTTTAGCATTTCTATACCCGATACTCGAAATGAGTATAGAGGTATATTAGATTTGTGGTTAAAGTGGATGTGTCTAACTTCCAGAAGGAATCGTTTCCGACCCCATAAAGTATATATATTCTTGATCAGCATCCATAGCCGAGTCGATTGAGCCATGTCTGTCTGTCCGTCTAGCAGTCCCTATGAGCGCCTAGTGCTCAGAGACCATAAGAGCTAGAGCAACGACATTTTGTATCAAGACTACTGTGATATGTGTGTCCCTGTTACAAAGGTATTTCAAAACTTCGCCCCGCCCCCTCAAAGGTCGAAAATCTGTGGCACTCACATCCCGATCCTACAAAAGACGAAAATTTGTGGCATCCACAATTTAGAAGAATGACCATATCTACCAGATTGCCGAATATGGATCAGATCGGATAATTTTTATAGCCAAAAGGAACAAATCAAATTTGCAGTGGCTACGCCAAGTATCGGGTATCAATGTAGAGTTGCGGTCGCAGCAGCAACTCACAACGTTCCCTCTCCTTATTATTTCCATTATTAATTTGATACAAAATTACGAATACGAATTGTATCTTGAAACGTTTGTTCTTATATATTCCATAGTTTAACCGCCAACACATTAATCACTAAAATCCCCAAGCAAAAAAACTAAAACTCACAATGTTTTTTCTCCTCTTTAGAGGAGATTTAAGGAAGTTGATTAATTTCCAATTAACGTAGACAAGATTTTTGGCGAAAGTTTGAGCTCAAGACATTTCAATCCTTTAAGGTCTAATCGATTACCCCTTCGATCCACTTGAGTACTCTATCTCAATGCCCTAATTATGGTAAATTAAGAGTTTTTACACTAATTTGTTAGCTATTAGCTCATAGGTCATCGTCTTAGCAATTATTGACCACCTTCTCCGTTAAAAGTATTGCTAAACTGACTTCGCGAATCAAAAGTCATCCTTAGATACTGTGTCCTTAGATATCTTGTGTCCACACCAATCGAACTATGTATTGATGGTCTCTTTTAATACCTAATCTAACAGCACTATACAATTTACTCTTCCAGGACTCTCTCCCAGCTTTCGCAACGCCTGCGAGCCTACAAGAATCGTCGTCGGGCTTCGTCAGCAGTTCCGGGACGCGAACGCCGCGCAGGCATCGACGACGCGCATGAGGATCCGGACACCCCAACAACGACGCTGAGGCGCCACAAGCGGCACAACAGTTTGCCCAAGAATGCGCTGTACACAAGACACACCACCGTACAGGAGAGCATCGATGACGACGATGTCGGAGAAGAGGAGATCATGGCGCACCGTGATCAGCAGACGAGGTCAACTGCGAATGGCAAGGGCTGTCACTCGGATACCGAGTTGGATCCACCGCAGGTGAAGCAGTGCCACACTGGCGTCGGTGGCCAAAGCCAACTGTCGGACTACATGCAGCTGCCCTCGGTGTGCACGTGTCCCTACTTTGGAGATCGGCCGCTGCAGAACTGTGTGAAGACGGCCGAGGTGAAGATAATTTCATCAACCTTTCGGGTGACCACGACGACAACGGCGGTGAGTAGTTCCCCAAGTGAAATGGAACTGCTCCTTTGTAGCAGCGGAAATAAAAAGGCCCTGACCTCCAGTGTGAGTGAGGGCATAACGGGACCAGGTGGCACTGCAGTATGCGGTGGAGGAGCCGCCCCGCCCTCTGGCAGCTCAACCCTTAGTCCGCACTCTACCCAGAACCAAAGCAGCTCCTTGACGGTCCAGAGCGATGGAAGCGGCTACCTAGCTGCTCCCGGAACCCCCTGCCCCGGAAGACGCAAACTGAGTATCTCGAAAACTGCTTCGGTGGTCACTTGGGATGCCAGTCGCCATCGCCGGCGGGGAAGCAGCTTCGGAGGAGTCCGAACCTCACTGCTACTGACTCCGACCAAGACGGCAGCAGCGTCCACTGCATCTACGCCATTGAGGCGCTCGGCCACGTTGCGCAGCCACCAGAATATGAATTACCAGGCTGGGACGGAGGGCGGCGGCGGCAGCAAGACTAGGGCGACCACATCTTCACCATGCATGCTGCAGCGGCAGCAGACTGTTCGCTCTCACCATTCCAGAAACTCCAGTGTGATCTCGAGGAACTCGTCGCGTCACGGCAGGATCATTCGGCTGGAACAGAAGGCCACCAAGGTCCTCGGCGTCGTTTTCTTCACATTCGTCATTCTGTGGTCCCCCTTCTTCGTTCTCAACCTATTACCCACGGTGTGCGCTGAGTGTGAGGAGAGAATCAGCCACTGGGTCTTTGACGTAGTCACATGGCTGGGCTATGCCAGCTCCATGGTCAACCCCATATTCTACACCATCTTCAACAAAGTCTTCAGGCAGGCATTCAAGAAGGTCCTACTGTGCCGCTACTCCAGCACGAGCGCATGGAGACCGAGCAGATAGCAGACGCCAGTTAAGCCCGGCAAACTCAAGAAGAAGCCCCAGAAATGCCCCAGCGTGGACTTCCAGGATTCCATTGCATTGCAGCCGCCGGAAGGACCAGGGGCCGTAGGTCAGCGACGCCAGCGGGCAGTCCCTGCCGGAGTCGCCAACAGAAAAGGGGCAATGGGAAGCAACAGATAAACCCGCAAACAGAGACAGAGCGCTGTGCGGCATCCCAGTCCATTTTGCCTGCGGTCCACCGCACAACGTGTCGTATACCCAATTTGTTGGTCGCTCCACATGTCCTCATCCGAGTGTGTTTAGCGTGTGCGTGACTGAATGTCCTCAAGGCTTAAGCGCTTTTGTGGCTCTAATTAATTTCAAATTCAATTTGCATACCGAAGACACATTTCTGGTCATTCCAATTGCGGGTATACTGAAAACTAAATTTGTCTTGAATAATACGAATGTGGCAAATAGTAATTTAATCCCATTCATTTTAACGTTCTGTTCTGTTCTGCTCTCTGTTCCCATTTGGGACAAGTGTAGAGAGAAAATCCATTTCTTCCTTTCGATAAAGCTAACAGAGGGAGAATCAGCATGAGATAATAAAACCCCCAAAACGGAGAATCCCACCAGATCCATTGTGATCAGATCATTATTATCAATGCAAGATGATGAAAAATATGTATCCCAGCGTTGACTCTGCCTCTCCTCTTGTGCACAATTCATGGCTTTGCGTGTTTTGATAGTTTCATAGATTTTCATAAATGCATACATATGTACATATGTATATTGAAACTGTGTTGTGCGTATCTTTAACGCACGAGTTCCCGAAAGAAACCATTCCAGCTCGTTTAATAAATATTTACAAATATACGAGTATTTTTTTACACAGGAAAACTCCCTTCGAGATGTGATATTCGATAGAAATACGCAGTTATGCAGTGAATTTATGTGAAGTGTTCCATCCGCAAAATGCACAAGAATTTTATAAAAAATCATTTAAGGAACCGACACGTACACAAATCCAGGAGAATTTGTGACTTTTCTTGTTTGTTCGTTTGCTTGATGGCGATGTGGCTGTGTTGTTGTTTTTTTTTTGGCTTAGCAGATTGCTATTTTTATTTGAAAAGTTCATTCATTTTGTTTTATTTCTGTGGGCAAATGAAAAATTTCAGCTGGTCACGTAAGAGCTTGACCGGACCCTGGAGACGGTCAGGATGCGGGTCGGTAGCCATAGCCATAGCCATAGCCATAGGCATAGCCGTAGCCGTAGCAGATGCTTAAAAGACATCAAACAACAACAGGATAACAACAGCAACAACAGCAATAATAATAGCCATTGGGATGAAAGTTTTCAATTCTTTTCCCCAAGTTTAAAGCGCCATATCGCCAGGCGGCTGCAAAGTACCCAAGGAAGCGCAGAGGAAGAGGCCTGTGAGAGGGAGATGATGCGTAATGACGCCATTAGTGGCAGCCACTCAAAGATGCTGTCGCGACACCTCACAATGCCAAAAAATTTGTACATTTTTTACTGACAAATTTTTAGCGCCTGAACTTCTACCCGTGCCCGTACAGCAGAAGGACCTGCAATGCCGAGAACAGACATGAGGAAGCTCTGGCGGCACTTCGAAATTTATAGCAATTTTATCGCCAGCGGAAATATTTTTTCCACTTCATTGAATCAATGGTGAATCAGGTCCCTGTTGGGCTGGCCGTCCGTGGAGTGAGTCTGTGGTTCGCAAAGTTTCACACCCAAGGAACTTCATTGAACTTTAATAGCAGGCCTCAGGGCAAACAACAAAGACAGTCGATGGCCCGGGCGCAAACCCCTCCCCCCCCCCTTCCTTTTCCTTTTCCCCATCCGCTTTTTTGCCACATATGTTCTTTAAATGTATGTACATACTCCTATAAGGACTATCTCAATACCCTAAAAAGTTCAAAAGTACTGAAGGTGCCTGCGACATCTTTAGAACATTCCGACCATCAAATTTCTTCACAATAAATTTTCCTGGAAACCTGCACTCGCTCCTAGTTTACCGAGCTCTATAGGCTTACGAATTTCCATATTGATGTTCCCCGGCCAGAAACCTTTGTGAAATATTTTGTCTTATTAAAAAGTTGGCAGATTGCAACTTCACTTGCAGGAAAAAAAAAGAACCACAAGCAAAAGATCAATGTTTAATGATAATATAAGAATACTCAGTCATTGCAACAAAATAAACGTTTTATGCAGAAAATATTCCACAATAATGTTAGATAAATACGAATTTAAAGCAAGACAGAAAATGGAAAATACTATGTGCTTCGAGTGTTGCTTGAATTTATTTTTTAACATTGTCTATTGTATAAGTAAAATGTAGCTTACTGTAAAATTACTGATATATTTTAGATTGATCGTTGATCTGTGTATGTATAATATGTACCTATAAGTCAAAAAGGGGAGCATTGTGACAAAACGCTTTTACCAGTAGTCCTAGATATAACGAACAGCATCCAAATACAAGCTGTTCAACTGTACGAGTCTCTATAACCGAAAACTGAGCTTTTTGACAAGCCAAGTACTGTACTCGTACATACCATATTTCACGTGACTACAATAACACCCTAGGGCATAATACTTAGTTGTGTTTAATTCGTGTATAGTCTAAGTTTAAGAGTTTAGAATCAAAGAGCCTATCCAGCCTTGTCCTGACTAGATTATATTTAGTGAAGATTGAATGAGGTGATATATGATTAGATAGTAGATGGATGTATCTGATAGAGAGCTGATATCACTGTATGCACTGTACTGTAGGTTCCCAGCTAGAACAGCTATTATTCTATATACCACCAGCAGAACAAGCGGTAAATCAAAGCATTTTCTTTTGAGTCAAAGGTTTCCACGTCCCTGAAGCGAGTTTTAATGATATATTTTCGAACTTGTAAACATTTTTAAAGATACAAAAAAAAATGGCTCAAATTGTTACTGATTTTAGCTATGTAAAGCTATATGTTGAGCTATAGAAGCCGGAAAAATTAAAATTGCATTCACCGTAGCAAAAACAGACGGGTAAATAAAGATAATCAGAAGAAATCTAAACACTCCAAAGCGACATATCCCCATATAAATGTGTATTTTACGATAGCCATAGCGAGTCCTTCCTAAACTAAGTCAAAGACACTGAAACGTAGATAAATAAATATGTGAAACATATTAGCTATAGTGTATTATGCTTTATATGAATGTATTACCATTGTTTATGATTTGTATTAAATGTCCATTACATCAGAGTCCAACTGAGGTTCATTCCACGCATGAAACAGTATTTTTCTGTGGGCAGAAATCGATACTCCCACGGAATCGACGAATCGAATGGGACTGAGAAGGAGTCAAGTCGACGTCAAAAGACTGAATCTGTCGCTTGGTTCTCTCCCTTGCCTAACCTTTGAAACAATCAGACAGTTTGGATCCAACCCATGCATTGATTTCCATGTAAAATTCCATTCAATTAAGCATCCGACGAGCAACGATGTGAGCACTCCGCTTCGATCCACGGCAGATAAGTACCTAAACATTTTGCGGAGTCGAATATACCTTAGGAAAGAGACAATTTAAAGGAAAAAATTATGACAATTCAGTCAATCTTGCATATCTTTGAATGTACATGCAATTACAATTGGCTCTGGCCGAATGGACAAGAAGGACAATAATTAAGACTATTAGGCGTGAAAAAGGACACTTGGGCTTTTTGGGAAGGTGTTCGTTCTCCATTCAAATTTTTGATAGGACGATTCCATTGTGAGATTAAGTTAATCATAGAGACCTACGAAATTCGAAAATGCAGGCAAGGCGACTAAAACCGTGAAGGAGGATTATGTTTAACGCAACAAACTTAGTCAGCTTGGATTGGTATGAACAAGATTCAAATGTCCCATACAAAATTTAGACATCATTAAGACGACTTTGATCTATTTTGTTTTCGTATGTTTCGTGTTTTATGACTGTTAAAGGTTTGTTAAAGGTCAATTTGTGTGTGTTACAGTGAATGTAACAGCAATTGGCAAATGTGACCATTTGGACTGTGGAACGAATAAAGCACGAAACATGCGAAATAGTAGATCCGAAAAAATAAACGTACGAATCCAAAAAAATTCTAGAAAATTGGGGTGTGAGCATGTTGCGATTTCATTAACCTCAATCACAATTGAAACTCACTTGGAAAATGGCAGAAAACGCCATCAAGTACATTGAGCCTTTACATCCGCTTCGTTTCTTCATCTCTCACTCGAGTACAAGCCAAATATTGAATATTTCGATCATCCGAAAGTGCTGACTGGTGCTGTGTTCACATTGTCAGGAAAAGTACAACTACCTAAAATTCCGACACCACCAGAAGCATTGAACCGATCCAGATTCAAACTGGTTCAAATCGTTCAGAGCAACAGAAATAGTTCCACAAACTGCGTAAAATGTGCATAAAGTCCACTAAACATTTAATGTCAATTGTGTTCGAATGCGTTTGATGTCCTATTCGATTGGCATTCGCGTAGAGAAACCATCGAGCTTGTTTACGAGTGTATTGGCTAAGGACGGACTGACCTAAAATAGCTTACAGTCAATTGCTCCTCGACGTTAATATTTATAATTTAAATGGCCAGCTAATATCCATATAACTATTTATTTAGCTAGATCACAATAAACGTTTTAGTTAACAAACTACATACATATATATTTGACATAACGTTTTGCCCCTTACCAAAATTAAATGGTATCACGGAGAACTGAAAAATGAAGATCTAATAATTCTGCAATCATCAAAACAATCATTGTCTTTTGGCCCTAGTTTTGATCAAAATTGTTTTACTTGGGTTTACCAAGATAGGCTAATATTTGAGTTAAATTGATCTGAGCTGGACCATTATGATCTTTACCTCAACCTTTTCATGCGATTTACTTATTAGAATAAAAACGATATTAAAAAACTCTAAAGCTAGTACTGTTTATCTATTGTGTCTCGTATTCGTACATACGCATATAGTATTCATAGAAATGAATGAATGATAGCCATGAATAAATGATGGCAATGAAGCAGCAATCGAATTGAAGGACTCTTTTTCCCGTTAATTTATATTTTCAAAGGACCAAAATAGACCAAAAGTTTATCTAAAACTGCAATTGAAATGCCACCGCCCACGTCAATGTCTATGACTACAACCAAATTCGTCCACGTCCGCTCGCGCCCCCGCACGTGACCTCTAGGGGTGCAATTCGCCGTGGGTGGCCCTCCAGGGGCCAATCCAAGCGGATTCGGGCCTTGTACATTGTCGTTATAGCTTAAATGATAATTATTTCAGGGAACTTGGCGGATTAATGCACGCTAATGCCGCGCAAATTTGTGCTTCAAGAGGCCTTTTAAAGCAGAATGCGCTTAGAAGGAAAAAATGGCCCTACAAAGTTGCGAACGGAAAGACACAAACCCGGGAAAAATGATCAGAGGGAAAATTGCGACTACTCAGCGTCTCTTTATTTTATTTCCAGCTTTAAGAGCTCGTAAAGTAGCACGGAATCCGTGCCGGGGTTGATGATAGAGGCCGTTTAATGGATTCCCTTTGCCCCAGCTCCAGCACCCGCTCCAGCCCCAACCCTGACCCCTCCTCTACCATTCCCCGACCCACCCAACTTGTGAAAAAAGTTACTGTAATAAACGGTTTTTGTGCGAAGCGACAACGCCGCCAACTTGAAA